CCACTTTGGTCTCTGCTTTGTGATTGTGGTTGAGGATATGAGCTCTCAACTTCATGTTCCTGACATCATGCCGGCTATTTGTTGCTATGCCTCCTCACCATGATGGATTCATCACTCTGTAACCATAAGCCAAAATAAATTCTTTCTGTAATTAAGAACATGGCTGTTCTGGCAAGAGATCACATCCAAAGACCTCTAGGTTTGTGTAATCTGGCAGGAATACAAACACGCCTTTAATCCAGGAGACAGAGGCAAATAGATCTGAGTTCAAGGTCAGCCTGGTATAGAGCAAGTTTCAGGTAAAGAAAAGCTTAGGCCCAGGCATGGTGGTACACAACTTTAATCTCAAACAATGAAGGTAAAGTTAGTTTGTAAAAGGAAGCCCCCATGTTTGAAAATGGTGTTTAATTGAGTGACAGAAAAAAAGCGAAAGATTTGAAAGAATAAGATTTGACAGAATATAATACGCCCAAGTCTCATGAGAAGAAAGAGGAAAGGGAAGCTACTTAAGGGGCAATGAGAGAGAGAGAGAGAGAGAGAGAGAGAGAGAGAACGCAGGCAGTTGTTTTTTACCAGGACAGAGATACAGACACAGGTTGAATAAAGAACAAGCTAGCCATAGATGAAGACACATGAGAAGGAGCCAGTAGATTAGAGCAGACTGCTTCAGTTAGTTTGAAGCCAAGCAGAGCAATTCATGGGCCGAGAGAAAAGCCAGATTGAATCAGTCAGCTGGAGAGGAGTGTGAGCCAAAATAGCTGAGTTAAACCAGCCAGCCCAGAGCTCAGTAAGAAAGGGTGCACTTATTCAGCAGTAAATCTCAGATGCTGAAAACACTCTAGGCCTAGGTTAGATTGTACAGAGGCTATAAGCTTCCAGGACCAGGCCTAGGTTAGCAGGAGGTGGTGGTAAGCCTCCCAGACAATTTAAACAAGGGAACAAAAGTTCCTTTTGCATCTTCTTTCTATAAGTTGCCTCGGTCATGGTGTTTTATCACAGCAAAAGAAAAGTAACTAATCCACCTCTTCAGTCATGGAGACTCCTCCCTGGGGACCTCCTCAAAGCCCCATGACTTTCCACTTCTGCTGGACCAACATCCCGCCTTCGTAGCCCACAATGGGAATTAAACTTCAATATATGACACTGGGGAGACTCAGCTTATATTCCACCTGCCACAGGTGGCCAACAGCATGCTACTCTGTAGCCATTCCACTAAGCTCCCCAAAAGTTCGCAATCGTTTTTTCTAGTTTCCACTGTGCTTAGAGAACTTCTACAGACAACTTGCAAGTAGTTCTGTTAGCAACATGTTCTGATGGTTTGCCTTTTTCCTGAGAATGTCTGATTCCCCTTCATTCCTGAAGGATATTTTGCTTGACAGAGTTCACAGTTAACAGTTTTCTTTATAAGTATAAAGAATCCTGTGCCCTTCCTTCTGGCTCCTGGAGCCCTGGAGAAGCAGCCAGATCTGGTTGAGACTGCCTCTCTACCTGTAACACGTCATTTCTCTTTGACAAGCAAGGTTTTTCCTTTTCTTGCCTTGCCAAATGTTTTACTAAAGCCAGCTGTGATGGTTCATGCCCGTAATCCTAGCACTTGGGAAAGTGAGAAGGATTGGCTCAAACTTAAGGACGGTCCACAATAAGAGAGCCTGTTTCAAAATTATAGATATGGTAAGGTGTACTGGTGCACTTTTAATCCCAGCACTCAGGAAGTAGGGGCAGGTGTCCTCTGAGTTCAAGGCTAGCCTGATCTACATGTTGAGTTCCAGGTTCAGCTTGACCTACAGAATGAGAGCCTGTCATTCATTCGTTGGTTCATACATACATACCACACACAGTAGAACAGGTAACAAACAAAAAGTTTAACTACAATATACCTTGGTGTGGATTTCTGACAGATTTGCTCTGAAGCTTACTCAGCCTCTTGCATCTGTGTATTTTATGTCTTTCACTGACTTGGGCGCATCTTCAGCCATTATATCTTTGAATGCTTTACTCCCACAACTCATTGTTCTGGGATGCTGATGAAATACAAATTATCCCACAAACCTCTGAGGCTCTGGAGTTTTAAATTTATCCAAGACAGAATGTATAAGTAGCCCGAAAAATTCCATCCTCCTGCTTCAGCCTCCTCAGTGCTACAATTCCAGGAATGCACCACCAAACTTGGCTTGGGTTCACTTCACACTATTTTCTTTGTTTTTCAGTTCCAAGAAAGTTCTAGCACTCCACCATCGACAGTCTACCACTATATCCGTCTAATGATGGACAGTGTTATTCTGGTTGTTTTCTCAAATTCTATAATTTCCACTTGGCGCTTTACAATTTCTTTTTCTTTGCTAACTTTTTTTTTTTTCAATTTTAAATGAGTTTGTAATCACTTTTCCTTATAATTACTTCTGAAAGGGATTTTCATGGCTGTCGAAAATCCTTGGCAGATGGCTCATTTGGCATCCATTTCAGTGAGCAGCCTTTTTACATTCACATTGTGAATGTTCTTGGAATGATAAGCGGCTTTTTTCAAATGTATGCCGGACATTTGGGTTATTCTGTTTGGAGACTCCTGGTTCTATTTAAATCCTCTACGTTAGCAGGCAGCTGCTAATGCCAGCGTGTGGATGGATGTCACATGAACAATCTGGTCTGCCTCTGTGGCCTCTTGTTCCAATGCTGGCTTTGTCTTTAGAGTCCTCCCCTTGCTCTCCTGGTCTGTTCCATTCTCTGGCACTGGTAGGGCTGCTCAGTGCCTGCTGGTGCCACCTGGAGGTTAAAGGGTCATCTCTGGGGTCCATCCTGCTGAGGATCAGCACAATGCTTGTGTGGGTCTCTGTGCTGACAGGTAGCTTCACAACACTGCCTATGTGGTCCCCACTGTCACTCTCATGTGCAGGGAGGGTCTGGTGAGCCCACAGGTGCTCTGACACTGGTACTGAAGTGTTGTTGAAGGTCTCTTCTGGGCACTGTTCTAGGACTCTCCTGCCATTGGGCAGAGAGAGGGGTTTTTCCAAAAGACTTACCTACATTTGTTGTCCATTGTGTGTACTAGGCCTCTCTGGGGCCCTGGTTCAGAAATATATACCAGAGAAAAAGGAAACCCAGGGACATAGCTCCAGTGCTGAGTCCTGGGCCAGACTATCTTATTTTCACCTCTCAAGTCTTTTCCCCACTGGCTGTTTCTTTTGGGGTATTTTGAAGTAAGGAGTAGGAAAGGTGAACTCGTTACTGCTCATGGGACCTCACGGGCCATGTCTGCCCACAGCCCACCACAGTCATCCTCAGAGGTGCAGGCCTGGCTGCCAGTTTTCCACTGCGGGCAAATTCCTTGGCTCCCTGCAGCGAACTCCCTTGGCCACAGAAAAGCACCAAAAGCTTCAGGTTCTACGGCAGACCCTGTCCCTCACAGACCTGGATGTTGGAGTCTGAGATGAGCCTGAGAGGGCTTCTTCCCCCTAGGCTTGATGTCTGCCCACCTAACATTCACAAAGCCTTCTCACAGCAAAGCCTTCTCACAGCTTGCCCACCTATCCCAAGCTCACCTTCTTCTTAGGATGGCAGCCTACCCTAGTGCCTCAATTTTGATATTTGCAAATATCCTGTCTCCAAACACAGGCACATTCTAACGCACTAGGCTTAAGACTTTGACATATGAATTTGGAGGGACACGGTCAGTCCATGACACCTAACGCCAGAACTTTGTTCAGCCAATCCCCTCTTCTTTACAACCCTTGCTAGCCCCAGCCATTTCACATGGTTCCCTGAAGTTTCCTCACCACATTCAAAACGCCTAAGGGTCACCTGTTCACACCAATTTTCTACAACACTAATGTCACCAGCAAAACATAAGGGCCAGATTTGTTCTATAGCCCAGCCCCTAACATCACAGGGGTGATGAGGTGCCTGGCTGGCCAGGCCTGGGAGCACCCACTCCCATTCGGCTTACTGGGAAGGGCAGGCAGCACTGAGTCAGGCTGTCACCAGGACTAGGTGACCAGTGGCAATATCGTCCCTGTCCCCCTACAAGCCCTCCAGCCATCGAGGCCACTGCAAGTCTAAACTGAGTTAGGACCCATGCAGCAGACACACACCTGCCTTCTCAGGACCCCTGAGTAAGGATCACCCACATCTACGCCATTCGAAAGCTCGGCTTGGGCTGCCACTGGGGAGAGAGAAACCTAACGGCACGCAGCTTTCCGGCCAGGTTTCAGACTCAGGGACAGGCTAGCCCCACCCTCTGCCCCGCCCCCGCCTTTTGCCATGCCCCAAGGCCTGCGCCTCACCTATCAGCCCTTGTCTCAGGCCCCTCATTCCTCACCCTCCACCCTACTCAGAACCCCCCACCCACCCCACTCTCGAGATCTGTGCCCTTTCCCCAAGCCTGCATCCCACCTATTAACCCTTGTCCTCCGGCCCCATGGTCCATGCCCCGCCCACCTCTCCCTAGTCCAACCCATTCCCCCTTGCCCCAACCCATTCCTTACTCTCGGTCCTTCGCACAGAGGCCTGCGCTCCGCCTGCCATCCCCTTCACCGACCCCAAAGCCCACGCCCTGCCTATTTGGTCATTTCCCTTCCCATTACTTTTTATTCCCCTCCCTTTACACTACGACCCAAGGCAAGACGCCTCCGTCCCGAGCACCACCCCCTCGTTCCGTCCACTACCCCTTCACCCTAACACCTCACCATTCGCCCCTCTTCCAGAGGCGCTCGCAAAGGCTACCACCCCCCACCCCACCCGCGAGCCGCGTGTCCCGCCCTCGACTCCTGGGCCCAGCCAATTACACTTTCTCTTCGCGCCCTGTCTCCTCCTCCAACCCGTTACTCCGCCCCCTAAGCCCTCTTTCCGCCCACTTCCCCTGGCCCCGCCCCTCCCCCCGTACTCCCTGCTCCTCCCCCCGCATCACCCGCACGACGGGCACACGCGGCAGCCATCCACCGAACCAACCGGAAGTCCTGCCGTAAAGCGTGCCGCGACAATCGCACTAGCGCCGGTTCCCTTGGAGACAGACAACGCGCTCAAGATGGCGGCGCCGGCAGAGGCGGAGGCGGCCGCGGGAGCCACCGAGGCGGCTGAAGCGGCGGAACTGAGCCGCGCGCTAGGCCGTCTACTACCGGGGCTGGAGACTGAAAGTAAGCTGGGGCGGCGGCGCGCGCTGGAGGCCCTGGAGCACGCCCTGGAAGAAGCGGTGCGGCCCGGCGCGGACTCCGCTGCCTTCCAGGGCCCCTGGGCTCATCTGCTGCTGCCGCGCCTGCTGCGGCTTCTGACCGACCCGGCCGAGGGCTGCCGCGCGCTGGCCGCTCACCTGCTGGACTTAGGCCTGCGCCGCGCCGCGCGGCCCCGCGACGCCCTGCCGCGCCTGTTGCCCGCGCTCACCGCGCGCCTGGCCCGACCTGACCCGGCGCGGCCGCCGCCCGAGCCCTGCGAGGAGCTGCGCCTTGCCCTCGTGCAGCTGCTCCGCCTGGCTGTGGACCTGGGCGGCGCCGCGCTCGCTCCCCACCTGGACGACGCGGTGCGCGCGCTGCGGGGCTCGCTGCTCGACCCGTTCGCCGCCGTGCGCCGCGAGAGCTGCGAGTGCGCAGCCGCTCTGGCGCGTGCCACTCCGGGTAAGCGCTGGATCCCCTTCCGCGGGTACCTAGAGTTCCAGAAACTTTTGAAGTGGGCTGGTTCCCTCGATTGGCGATTTCGGACGGGAGGGGCCACGAGACAGGGTCTCAGCACGTAGCCCGCGCTGGCATCAAACTCAACTTCTACTTCGATCTCCTGAGTGTTAGAATCTCAGACCTGTGCCACACACCCATTTTGTGGTCACTATTATGCAGAGGTGTGGGACCCACGTGGAAAAGAACCACTCAAGTTTGTGCCCTTGTGTTTCTCCGCTCCAGTGCTTTCTGTGTCTCTGGCTTAGATGACTGACTTCCTAGGTGGAGGGGAGGCTGCTTCTCGCCACCTCCCTGTGGCTTGTTTCTAACATTATAACGGCTCTGCTTGATCAGAGCCTTCCCTTTTTTCCCTCTAAGCTAGGCTTTGGAAAAATAAGAGGCCCTGCCAAGTGTTGATACTTAAACTGAAAGTCTTCACGGGAGGGGGCCAACTTTGTGAACCGGCTGTACATGTCTGCCTGGAAGCCGAAAGCATAGACAGCACCAGGATCACTAGAGAGGGAAAGTGGGAGCAGCTGGTGGGAGAGGCTGGTTTCCAAGAGTCCAGAGGAAGATGGCAGGTGGATGGTAGCCACAGAACTGGGCCCAGACAGCTGTATCTCATAACCAGCTGCCTCCCTGTCCCACAGAACACTTCCACATGCAGTCGGAGTCCCTGATAGGCCCCTTGATGCAGACCATCTCCCACCAGCACTGGAAGGTCCGGGTGGCCGTCATCGAAGCCACAGGCACTGTGATCCAGTTTGGCAATGGGAGTTCCGTGGACGATGTGCTTTCCCACTTTGCTCAGAGACTCTTCGATAATGTCCCTCAGGTAATGGGGTTGCTCTGCTGGGCAGTTTTGAGGCATGTGCTTCTGTAGTAGGAGTGTTTTCATCCCCTGGGAGAACTTCAGTGCACAGCCAAGGTTGCTTAGGGCCTTGCAGAGAAGGTCAGGGTGGAGCATGAGTGGTGGGGTGAGCCGTGCTGGTGGGCTCGGGAGCAGCTGAGGAGTCTAGCCTTTCATATTAACCGTCAAAGTCTCCACAGAGTGACAGGTTGTATCCAGGTGGCACTGCCCCCTCCCCGGGATGATTGTGTTGGCCCAAGTGCATCAGGCACCCTCCCTCCCCTGCGGTAGGTTGTGTCGCTTGAGCTGGTGCCCAGCCTACAGTGGATACTACCCACATCCTGCCGCAGCTCCCAGGACCGCTTTTGTGTCTTGTTTTATTTGTATAGCTCTCTAGTGTTACGATTCACATGCATGTGAGTCACCCATTCACATACTTTTAAATTTTGTGAAGCACGGACTGTTAAGTTTATTGTGTCAGGATTGGGATTGTGGCTCAGGTGTAGAGTGCTTGCTCAGTATGTGCAGGTGCTGTATTCCACCCCTGCACCACATGCCTGAGGCGTCGGTGTTGTCACAGTTGTCGCCACTACCCCAGTTCTCATCAGCACCTCTGCCAAACCCTCGGGAGGTCTAATCTTTCTGTCCTAAATGTGCTTACTGTGTAGATTTCTCATGGAGTCGTATTTCATGCAATATAAGGTAGCCTTGCCCATTTTCTCCACAGCCCAGGCAGCACCCAGGTATCTTCTCTGTCATGGTGACAAAGAAGACTGCCGACACAGTGTATTGTTGGGGGACAGTGAGTCTGCAGAGGACAGCACTAGTGGGTGTCATGAGGTTCTAGGTCAGCAGTGGTCCTCTCCTTTGTCAGAGGGGGCCTCAATGCCCACACCTGTTTCAGGACTAATACCCCCACAGCAGGACTGTAAGCCTCCCATCCCTCAGATCCTGAGCAAACTTCTCTGTTCTCTGTGGCAGGTCCGGCAGGCAGTGACCGCGGTGATGGGGGGATGGCTGCTGAATCTTCGTGACCGCTACTCTTTCTTCCACAAACTCATCCCACTGCTGCTCAGCGGCTTCAGCGATGAAATGCCTGAGGTCCGGTAAGTGCCTCGCCGGGCAGCTTGCCAGTGTGGTGGTCCCCTCCCCTCTGGAGTCACACTGATTTGGAATAAGAGCGTCTCCCCAGTTGCCAGTTGCCATAGTGGTGGTTCTCTGCTCCAGAACTGGCCCTTCCCCTTGTTGGTGTGTCATGTGATCCTGTGTCATATGGACTGTTTGTGGTTGTTAAGACCCAGCTGGACCTCTTTATTCCAGCCCATGGGTGAACATCAGGCCCTTGCTTGTATCATCACCATGTAGTCAGAGCTGGTCAGAAGGCTGCTTCTGCCAAGTGATGCCCATTGCCCAGCCCTGCTCCCCAGCCCAGCAGGTGTTTCCCTGAGGCTTCTGTGATCAGGGTCTTCATGGAAGACGTGGCACCCAGGCCTCACTGCCATTCCTGCCTTGCTGTTTTGCAGGCAGACAGCCACCAGCCTCTGGGAGAAGGTCGGGCTGCAGTGGCAGGAGGAGAATGAGGCAGATCTAAAGGACAAGCTGGATTTTGCTTCACCTCCGCCTCCCCAGTACCCTGAGCATGGTGAGTGCTGCAGCTAGGGGACAAGACAGGTGAGAGGCCCATGAAAGCCATTTGTTCTTGGCCCTGAAGAAGGCACTGCTATCTGAGGTGCTGCTGGACCCTGTTTGGAGATCACAGAGAAGGGCCTCCTTCCCTCGGTGGCCTGCAGGCCCAGGTGCTGCTGGCCTCTGCCCTCTGGATCTCAGGTGCTGATCTTTTCCCGCTTCTGGGCCAGCTTCATTTTACGTAAAGGGAGGACTTTCCAGAAGCATCCAGATGTGCTGCCAGATATCCACAGCTCCCTTCTGAGCATGTGCCAGGGCCCTGTGGCCGGGCGGGCCCCTGCAGCACTGCTGAGAGTCTGAAGAGTGGCACCATGGGGCTGTACCCTTTCACCTAGAGCCATCTAAGCCCGCAGACCGGGACAGGTGGCATTTGTCATTCTGTGTACTTTCTGCACTCGGGGCAGGGCCTTCTGTTGGCATGCTTGTCCTCACATAGTCATAGCCCACGGCCATGTTTGTCCCTTGCAAGCTCAGCTGTGAGGAAGGTCTCTGCCCACAGCTCAGCCCCTAGCACCCTGGACTTTGAGACCCCTCTTTGCAGGCAAGTGTTTCTCAGAACCAAGCAACAGTACACCCTGACAAGGACAGAAATGTAACTAGTGGGAGGCACTGTCTCCCAACACCCAAGTGACTCCTTTGTAGACCCAGTGTAGGAGGAGTCTTGTGGGCTGTGGACAAGAAGCGGTGCTGAAGCTGCTCCTGAATTCTGTTGTGCGGAGATGCTGAAGCCCGGCCTCCCGTTGGCCTTCCCCTCCAGTCAGCGTCTTTGCTCCTGAGGTTCTTCCCTCTCCTGGGAAGTACCAAAGGGAAAGCACTTCAGTTGCAAGCAGTAGTACAAGCTGGATTTGTTCTGACTGGGTAAGTCCAGTTGAGAGCACAGTTTTCCAGATATGGAGTTGACTTGTAAAGGCTGTTTATGTGTTTGTTTGTTTGTTTGTTTGTTTGTTTATCTTTTTTGTGTGTGAGATGCTCAGTTTCAAACTCCAGGCCTCACACCTGTGACACCAAATGTTCTACTACTGAGTCATATCATCCCTTGTTTTTTTGTAGCAAGGTCTCATGCAGTCCTCCTACCTCAACCTCATGAGTGCTGGGATGGCAGATGTGCAGCACCATGCCCAGCATGCATCTGTGTTAACTGTTTCTTTTTGGCAGAGATGCATCAGGGTCCCAAAGGGGTTTTGTCTTTTTGTTTTTGTTTTTGTTTTTGTTTTGTCCTTTTGGGTTTTTTTCTGCCCCAAGTTGCCTGTGTCCTTTTGCACAGTTGGGCAGGAAGCTTACCTCCAGCCCTGGAGTCCAGGCCATGCTCTGAACGTGCACTGGTGATGTTCTCAGTGTTGTGAGGGCTAGTGTATCCTCATGATTAGTGGCTCTGTCCCTGCTGTCTGGGCTCATCCCACACATTTCACAGGCAGTCAGGCAGTGTCAGCGGGACACTGGCCTTGAGGTGCAAGGACGATTCTGCCGGATCTTGCTGCCTGGAACAAGGAAAGTTTAGGAGGGTGCCTGCCTTGTGAAGATGCCAGGCGAGACTCGTGCCCAGTGAGGGACGGCTGTGTAGGGACTTGGGAGGCATACTTGCTTGCACTGTGTCTGCACTGGCCAGCTCCCGTGCTCAGGTTCTGGAAGGAGCACTAGTCTCGGCACATTTTGGATCATAGTTAAGGACGAGGGCTTGGTTCTGCCAGTAGTTACGGGCATCTTGATGCTTCTAGTCTTGAGCTGTGAGAGCAGCTTCTGCTCAGAGCTCAGTCTTCATCTAGAGCAGAGAGGGTTTAGAATTCAGGGACAGTGGCCAGTGGCACAGCACTAGGTTTCAAGAGTTTTGTCATTTCCCTCTGAAACTTCACTGGAGGATTGGAATAGTGAAAGTTTTCATGATTTTGCAGCATTTCAGCCACCTGTGCTCAGACCCTTACCCTAGGCCTCCTTGCTATTGCCCCTCCCAGCCCTGTGCCTGGCCTCTTCGCGCCATCCTGGGACCTGTGTTGTCCTTTTCCAAGGGCCGTGTACAAAAACGTTTACATCCCTAAAACTGCCTGTTAGAGCTGTGCGTTTGTGAACTTCATCGAAAAACATGTCTGAAACTTAGAAGGACCAAGTCCATCACTGGGTCATTCCTGGTGCCTTACTGGCTGTGGCCACTCCTTTTTCTGGGTGTCAGGTCACGCTGTCTGGCCAGACATGTCTGCTTGGTGTGGTCATCTTCTTGTCAAGTCTCAGCCCACTACTGCAGTGATCCTGGCAGCCACCCTCCTGCTACCCAGTCGCCTCCTTCTGTGTCTGATCTCAGTGCTTCTTAGGTGGGCATGTGCTTGAGTTGCCGCCAACCCAGGATGAGTAGCTCAGGCGTGTCAGGTCCTTTCTGCCTGCCAGTGTAAGGGGACTTCGTTCAGTCCTCCAGTATAAACTGGCTGGCCACAGCCAGGCGATCCACACAGCACTCTAAGTTGTCACTTGCCACACACACGTCAGCACCTGGGTCAAGCTTAATCAAGTTCTGGCTTCCCCTTGCCTTGGACAGAAAGCTAGGATGTGGATTTGTTTGTTTTTATTTTATGTGTGTGTGTGTGTGTGCTTTGCCTGCACGTGTACCTGTAAAAGCCACAGTTGAAAGCCACCTACCATGGGTGCTAAGAACCAAACTCAGGTACTCCCAAGAGCAGTAAGCACTCTTTCTGAGACAGGCTTTCTCTGTGTAGCCTTGGCTGTCCTGGACTCACTTTATAGACCAGGCTGGCCTTGAACTCAAAGCGATCTGCCTGCCTCTGCCTCCCTCAGTGCTGGGACTAAAGGCATGTACCACCATGCCTGGCTCAGCAAGCACTCTTAACCACTGAACCATCTCTCCAGCACCTAAATCTCCACCGTGATCTGTTTCTTGTAACTTTATTAGTTTCTGTGGCTGTGTGCAGTGTAGAGCAGACACCAGGGCTACCGTGCGCAGGTGGAGGTCGCCAGCTTTGTGGAGTGGTTCTCTCCTTCCAGTGTTACAAGGGCTCTGGAGGTGGAATTCAGGTCACCAGCTTGCATGGCAAGGCCTTCCCTCACCGAGCCATCTTGCCTCGAATCACTGCTTTCATGGTGGAGCACTGTGTGGGGCAGTCAGGAAGGTTGCAATTCATTGTCTTCAATCAGTTTTTCTGACTAAAGTGGCCTTAAGTTCCTGCAAACCGCCAATGGCAGGGTTCTGGTGACAACGGGTTCCAGGGTTTGGTGGTGGTGGTGGCAGTAGTTTTCCACTGAAACATCTTTCTCCTGGAATTGTTTGCCTGTCATGCCCAAGTGCTAAGGATAGAACGTCTTCAGAAGTGGCTTGATGCCAGGAGGACACGGGGCCTCTCTTTCCTTTCCTTTCCTTTCCTTTCCTTTCCTTTCCTTTCCTTTCCTTTCCTTTCCCTTTCCCTTTCCCTTTCCCTTCTTTTCTTTTCTTTTCTTTTCTTTTTCTTAAAAAAAAAAAAACTGGTCTGAGCAGAGCTCCCTTTGAATGTATATCTTTGGGCCTATCCGTCTATTTCTGCCCTGCCTAAATTCTATCATGGTGTTTGGGATAGAAACTTGAATAGGTTCAGAAGAAGAGAAGCAGGCTGGCAAACTGGCTGGTACCGTGGGAGCTTTTTCAAGGGCAGATCATTCTGCCTTAGCAGCACACAGGGTAGGCCTTGTACTTGGAGTGAACTGCCAGGAGAGGAGGAAAACCATTTCCACAGAAGTCAGGTTCTCCTGACTCCTCCAAGAACTGTGAACCTTGACCTCTGCACCAGCTTCAATCTTCCCCCAGTCCCTCCAAGTGGAATCCCCTTTGTTTCACTGGACCTGACATGAGCTCACCTTTTCCATTGTTTGTTGGCAGCTATATGGATGGCTGCCTGTTGCCATGGTGTCTGGCTTTGCAGATGTCCATAACTCTCTGACTGAAGGGTCCATTGTCTCTTAAAGTCTCTAAGGTCCCTTGTCACCCTGTGCTCTTGCAGACATGGCCCACTTAAGCTGTTTTTTTGTGGGTTTTTGTTTTGTTTTGTTTTTGTTTCTGTTTTTCTGCCTTTTTGTCTCTCATGTCATTATTCCCTTAAAGAAGATTTGTAGACAGCAGTGAGCTCTCTGCCCTGTTGGAATCTTGACATGAGTAAATGATTGCTTGCAGACAGGGCCTTCCTCCCTGCCTACCTGTGCTAATGGGCTTCCAGACAGAGATGTGTGACCACTGACCTAGCCTGCCATAAATAAGTGGCGAGTAATCAAATCCAGGAAGGAACTTAGACGCTGAGAAACAAACATGGCTGGTAGACAGCCAGCACAGGGCACTGGTAAAACAGTCGAGGTTTCCTAGGATGGCAGGCATGGTGCTCCCCACCCATCCCAAGGTAGACACTAGATAGAAATGAAACTGTCCCACAGCAAAGCTGGAGAGTGTCCCAGCAACATTCTCCATGACAGCCCAGAAGAAAGCAGCCCGAGTGTGCCTGTTTGGGAGAGACGGTATACAGGTGAGGTGGCAAGGTAGGACATCCCTCAGCCGAAAGCAGGGAGAACAGAGACATGTGTCACACATGAGTGAATCCTCTTAAGTGGAAGAAGCCTGTTTACAGAGCAGCACACCCCCCCCCAAAAAAAAATCCTGGGGACACAGGAAATTGTGTCCTAAGTAACACTGCAGCCCAGGACAGTTGAGCCCTGCCCTCTGGGGTGCTGATGAGGGGGACCCCTGCACTCAGGCATTACAAGGCTGTGTAGGAAGGGTTAGTTGTTACTGGTATGTAGGGTGTGAGAGTTAGTTCTGTTTTCTCACACTGCTTGAATTTTTTCCATTTTGTTTGCTTGGGCTGTCAAGATAGCTCGGCAGGTGAAGGCTCCTGCTGCCTGAGTTTCCCTCCTCGGACCCCCATGGGGGGAGAACTGACTCCCACATGGCTGTCCTCCGACCTTCCCTCATGTGCAGTGGCAGTGCACAAGAACTTATTTACCAATAGTGTGTGTGAGTACAGGCACACAGAAAGGATGGTTGTTAGAGGACAGCTTTGTGGAGTCGATTCTAGCCTCCCACCTTGATATGAAGCAGGATCTACCGTTCCTGCGGCTGAGTTGGCTGCTCCCGTTAGTTGGTCCCAGAGCTTCTGAAGGAGACGCCTATCTCCCCTTTCATCTCTTGGACTACAAAAGCATGCCACCACATACGGCCTGTTTTGTTTTTTAACATGGGTTATGGGGTTGGGACTCAGGTCATGAGAGGTTTGCAAGTGGTTTTTGTTTAATTGTGTACAATCCTGGGGATTGAACCTAAGACCTCATACCCCTGCCGCTTTTCACTTGTAGTTTTGCTTTTGTTTTTGAGGTATAACCCAGGCTGGCCTCAAACTTAGCTTGTAGCTGAGGCTAGCTTTTGACTTTTAATGCCCCTGCCTCCACCTCCAGAATGCCTACAGGCATCACCACTACACCCTGATTATGTAACACTGGAAGTAACCAGGCTTCCTGCACACTAGGCCATCACTACCAACTGAGCCTCATTTACACAGGGTCTAAGCTGTCCTTCTGCTTCAGCCTCTGAAGCAGCTGGCCTGAAGCAGGCTAGCCAGGCCTGGGGACAAAGGCCTGAAGTCTGAGGCCG